GAAGGAAAAACGCCATTGTGGAAGTGGAGAGTACCTCATACCTACGCTGCAATGCATACAGCATGGGGCTGGAGAGGTGACTTAGAAGTTAAGAATCCTTGCTTTGCTATTCTTCCAGAAAAAAGTTGTGTATGTCACACTGGAATAGGTAGGTACAGGGGGGGCTGCTGGGGAGTTTGTTAAAGCCTAGGGGAAGGGATTCTTGGCAAAGACAATAGCCCAGTCAGAGGAGGGAGAGCAGATAGCACACTTCTTAGGGTTCTATGAAAATATCCTAGAGCTAACTCAGTTTCTTCCAAACTCTGTCATGTGATGTCCCTGCAAGTGCTGGATCTGAGTTCAATTATCAGGCAGCTTACAACTACCTGTAACCAGCTTCAGGGGATCCCACACCCTCTTCTCGTCTCCACCTAAACAAGCACAGGCATACATGTGCGCGCGCGCGCCCACGCGCACACACACACATGCATGACACACACACGCACTCATGCACTCATCGTGTGGCATACATTAACAGACAAATGAATACATACAGTCCATGAAAACAAATAAACAAGTGGCACAGAATCTGTTTTGGAGCTGATAAGAAACAGTCTCCTCATACTGATCCAGGAAGCCTCTGTGGATTAAAGTTTGGGAAGTCCTGGAGCTCAATGCTTGCGTAGTGCAGTACAACTTTGCTGTTCAGTAGAGAGGTATCCCATTGGACCCTCCAGGGACGCTAGTTAGATAGGAGTGCATAAGTCAAGACATGCCATTAAGATACAGTGGTACTGCAAGAAAGCAGGAGGTTTAGAGAGTGTGACTGTAGCTGAGCCTCAGCCTCAGGTTAAGACCTATGTGCTCTCACAGCACATGGCAAGTCACACCTGGAAGAGAGTAGGCCAGTGCAGACAGCTTGTGTGGACTAGTTAGCAACTGGGCTATAGGAACACAATCCTGCACCCATTAACATGATTTGACCAGAAGAGTTTGCTGAGGAGTTTCGGAAAACTGAGCAGATGATCCAGTGTAGATGGATTAGGGAGGCGAGGAGAGGCACCAGTGATTTAGAATGTGTGAATTCCCTCACTTTAAACCTTCAAATATATCCTCCTAAGCAAGGAGCATCTAATAATGGTCTCTGCTCCAGACACTGGGGCATGTGGTCTTGCTTTCTTGATTAGTGGTTTATTCACACAGTGTTTCTGGTTGACCAGTTAAACAACTGAGTCCTAAGTACATAAAAAGCTAGTAGTAGTGATGGCAATGAAATCAACTTTGATTTTTGTCATTTATGTTCCCCTAGAAAAGATCTGTCCCTAAAACCGAGATGAACCCACTGTCATCTCAGTTTTGTGGTTAGTGGAAACCTTGAATGGTTTTTAATTGCCCTGTGTCTTGTTCTGACTCACAAAGGAGACATCAGGCATAACCATGACTTCATAGTGCAGGGTTGTGATGGTTTCCTGAGAAGTATTATGAAAGCCCATAATGGTGTTGCTATTGCATCACTTTAGAAACCTTCATTTTCAGAAACTTAAAATTTTAATACCCTTGAGTCATTTTTGTAATTGTAATTACATTGGTGTGAGGGGTAGTCTGGGGGAATCTAGTCATCTGTGGCAGTTGTTATTCCGTGGAGTTGGAGCCAGAGGAGATAATGAATTATCTGAGATGTGGTCAGTCCCACACAGAAGGAGAATAGATGGTGGTTTCTTACTGTGGTTCTAAAGCACATCCGCTGATAGGTGTGATTTCATTAGACAAAGCTGTGGCTGAGTGTGCACATGGTAGTGGCTGAGTGATGCTAGAGAATGAGAGACTGCTTTTGTTCTCTGGGGGGCAGAATAGGATGTGTGAACTGTGTGAAAGTGTCACAGTCAAAACTGACAAGCCAAGGGAAAGCATCCCCATGTTCTGTGTGGTGGTACATCTCAGGGCTGGTTATGTCATCTTTGACTTCCTAGGATCATGTAACCCCAGGATGTACCTCAGTTTGGAAGACTGACATTAATGTAACTATGGGTTTTGAGCCTCATCTCTCTGACCTGATCTTATGATGCCCTTGTGTAATGTTTATCACATAGCATGGATGCTACCTGTCTGCTGTGTCTCCCTGGTGAGTAACTAAACCAAGCATGGCCATGGCTGGCACTGCATAGAAGAGTTGCATATTTTTAGCCTCTCTGTTAACATAAAACGATGCACCCATATGTTAAGGACCTTGAATGTGTGTGTGTGTGTGTGTGTGTGTGTGTGTGTGTGTGTGTGTGTGTGTGTGTGCGCGCGCGCGCACTCAGGCTTGTTCATAAAGGGGGCCAAGAAGACTTTGTGAGAGGTGGGAGGAGAGCAGAGAGGATGAGGATAGACGATGCTTATTCTGCTTCCAGATAGCTAGGAAATGAAGTGGGCTCTCACTGCTTAAGACATACAAGGCTGATGAACTGCTTTCCATTGTTCCCCACAAAGAAAGCCGTATAATAGCACCCCTTCATTTTGAACTGTTTTCCCCAAATTATAGTATATATCTAGACCAGTGGCCTTCATAATGAGGCACACCTCAGATGAGAGGAGCCTCTAGAACATGTCTTCTTTTATCTAGAATATTGCTTATTTTAGAACAATCTATATAAAAATATTATGTGCTAATATAAATTCAGCAGAAACCTAGACTAGGAATGGCATATGGCTAGCATTATAGAAGCATGTTCTAGTATCCTTCCTGGTCTTTTATTCATCCTCCTATTGAGTGTGGCGACCCTGGGTTATTGACTTTGGAAGCTAAAATATGAAAGACATAGCACATATGCATGAGCATAACTTCTGGGCCATTGAAGAGGAAGCTGTGTTGGCGAGGAAAGGTGAGGCTGGCTTTCAGAGAATGAGAAGCATACTAGCATTGCTGACAGGAGATGGTCCTCCAGGGAGAGAAGTGGAGTGCACAGAAGTAGAAGGGGCACAGTCAGAGAGAGGGCGTGGCTAGTTTGTTTTGCCTGATGAAAGGCTGTGCTGTGAGTCATCCCCTGCATTCCCTTGGCCCATGTTTTCCATTTCTTTATACCCATCAATTAAATTTCAGCAGATTGTAATCAGAGGGGCAGTTACTAAATGGATGAAAGTGGCTTTGTAATTATAGCTACTGCTAGATATGTAATCTATTTGTTCTTGTGATTATTAAGGGTTTTATTTTTATAAGATGATTGCCTCCTCTTCTAAATGTCCTTAATAGTATTCAAATAAGGCCCAGGACGCATGGAAGCCCAGGACCATATCTTCCTTTGCACCTTATAATAATCTCACAGCATACAGACCCATGGTAGCTTTGCTCTTCTCCCAAAAGGTCCACAGTCCATCCACTCAAAATAGTTTGGGACTGCTTTGTGTCCCCTCAGCCTTACCAAGAGGGGAGAAGTCAGGTAATGCAAAACAACCCAGGTTTTGCATTAGCGTCTGATAAATGCCCTCTTTTCTTTCCTTGACCAATTCCATTGTCTACCACTGATAAATGACTCCATGGTTGCCTCTTGTTCTGTTTATCTACTGGGCCGAACATGCCCCTGCAGAATGGTATGGAAAGAGCCCCCAGCTAGAGTTCTTGGTGAACTGAACAGGAATCCTCTGACAGACTGCCTGTCTTTATGTGCCTGGGTCAGCTCTTAGAGCAAGTAGGCTCACAGTCATATACTTATACATATAGGAATCACATGATTTGTATTTTTCAGACACTCTCTGTTTAGTTGTACTTTAAGACCAAATTCAAAGTTAACAGGGATTGTAATTTCTTAAAATAAGATTGTCTTAACCTGCAGACTAATTATGTATTTTCTTAGTGAATTTCAAATCTGAAATAATCATTCAGTAGTGACAGTTAACATAAACAGATATCCATATCAGTAAAGCCTGAGAAGGCTCAACACCTCACAAACCCAACTGCGAGAAGTTACCGGAACTATAGCAATAGGCAAATGGCATATGCTTCAATAAATATTTCTTGAATGAATTATTAGTGTATTTTTTTTTGCTAGTGGACAGTTATAGTTAGATTAAACCAAGATTAAATAAAGCTACATGTTGTAGTCTGAATATGCCTGCAAGTCTGAATCTTTTGAAGTTTTACGAGTTGCATGCCACATTTTAGAACAATGTCCTGTTTAGATTATGTGTCCAAACCCAAGAGCCTCTTGATTCCTTGTAACTGATTATTTGAGCTGAAAACACTGTGCTGAGAAGGAAATACCTGGAGTATCAGCCTTTTAAACAAGAGCCAGTGACTTGGGCTTTGTTGCCATTGTAGTACGATATCACACAGCATCAGACATGTCCCAGGTATGGGGGAACTGTCTAAGAAGCCCAAAGTGCTCCACAAGGGACTGCTGATGGCCCCGTCACAGCATGGGACGCTGCTTCTTCCCGTTTTTCTTCCTGGCTACACAAAACGAAACACAGAAGCAAGACCCCCCTTCCTCCTCGTCTCCCTCTTCCTCCTCATCTTTTTCAGTGATTTATTTTTACGTTATGTTTGTGCATGTTTTGCCTGCATTTATGTATGTGTACCACATGCATGCCCGGGGTCTGTGGAAGTCAGGAAAGGGCATAGGGTTCCCTGGATCTGGGGTGTAGATGGTTCTCAGCCACCACGTGGGTGCTGGGAATGAAATCTGGGTCCTCAGGAAGAGGAACCAGGGCTCTTAACGGCTGAGCCATCTCTCGAGCCCTTCCCCCTCTTCCTCCGTCTTCTTCCTTTACTTTACCTGAGTTAGGGTATCATGTATTTCAGGCTTTCTTGACCTCACTGTGTAACTGAGGATGAATTTGGACTTAGGGTCCTTCTGCCTCCACCTCCTAAGTACTGGAATTACAGAAGTGCCAGCGGTTTATGCAGTGGTAGGCAAGCACTCAACCAACTGAGCTACCCCTGTATAGCCTAATCACTATATCTTTCAAAGTTTGCAGGCTTCCAAAGTTTTCTACATACACACTCATGTCTGCAGCATTTGATTCTGTGTGTTTCCTTTCAGCTTTATGTGGCCACAGAAGCCATCCTCATTGCTCTAATTGGAGCTACACCGTCGTATCACTGGGATATGGCCGAGCTCCTGCCCAACCAGAGCCACAGCAATCAGTCAGAGGGCAAAGACCAGGCCTTTGGGGCCTGGCTTCTGACGGCCAATGGCAGCGAGATCCATAAGCACGTGCATTTCAGCAGCAGCTTCACCTCTATTGCCTCTGAGGTAAGCAGACCACCAACCTAGCCAGGTGGCATTGGTGTACATTCCAAAGGAGCCTGTTTTGACTGTGGAGCCCTTTTAAAGGTGAATTAAAACCTGCATCTCTTACTACAAAGGTTAGCAGAGTAAAGCAAGAGGACTGCCAGTAGCCTGGCTGCACTTCTCAGAGCGCCTGTTTCAGTCACGTGCTGTATGCAGACACAGGACATCGTGGTGCATAGAATAACACACATGATGTCCCGAGTATATGCAGGAAACACTGCTAGAGGGGCCCATGCTCACCAAGAGACTGGTGCAGCAGAGCCAGGCAGAGATGAAGCAGCCGAGAACAGTTTGCCGAGGGTGGCATTAACAAGTCATATTTTGATTGTCTTTGTGTCTCCATGGCCCAGAGGCAACAGTGATAACTGCCCCACCACTAGCCTCTTAAAAGGACAAGTAGCATCATTGATTGTTCACTATAGACCAGGCACTGTGACTTTTTGTGGGTTTGTCTTATTTACTCAGAGTAATTTTATGGTGTAGGCTGTTTTCTCCATTTGGCAGATGTAGAAACCAAGACTGAGGTCAAGCCTGACTCACAAGGACAGTGCTGGTATTTGATTGTAGATTTGTCTTAACTCAGAAGCCTGTACTCTTCATTCTGTTTCCAAGAAGGGCATACAGTCTGCATCCAGACTGGGGTGTACATCTCTTAGGTTCTTTTTGACTGGCAACAGTAGCCAAATATTTTTGTACTTACTTGTGAATAATTTTAGACTGACAGCTGAGAATGTAGTGCAGTAGCAATATGCTTGCCTATCCATATCTGAAGCCCTGGGTTCTATTCTTAGAACTCTTCTTGTGGAGATTCAGGAAGACATAACAGGCCTCTTCTGTCTTACATTTTCAACATGGCATCGTTTATTTTTCTCCAAGTCTTATTCTATTGGAAGGGTCAAGCACTGTGTCTGCCCGATGTATGCTGTCTCTTCATCCAGAGTGTATGAGCCACATGTGAGTTCTCAGGCTACTCCTGCCCAGCACCTTAGAGGTCTGTTGGGGTTGTTTGAAGTGGTTGGGATAGGTGACTTCCAGCCTCTCTGTCCCCCAAATCATCATTCATCTGAGAACTAGTGACAGGGCAGATTAATAGCTGGTGAGCAAGGATGGGAGCATGGCTGGGAGCACAGGCTGATGGTGTGCACTCACAGGGCTATGCACCAACTTGGGTTTGTCTTCATTGCAGTTAAATGCAGCTCCAAGTTGACCCCCACTCCACTTCTTAGAACTGATTCCATATCAGTTCCCCCTTCCGTTTTCAAAGTCTTCATGTTGACAGTATTGAAACGGTCTGTGGTATATGCATAGTTCAAGACATGGCTCTTGTTGAAATTGTTTGTTCTAAAAAATTAAAGTTTAAAAGCAAGTTCTTTGGCCAGTATAATAATGACTCAGAGGGTAAAGGTACTTGTTGCTAAGCCTGATGACCTGAGTTTGATACCTGAACACACATGGTAGAATGAGAAAACCAAGTCCTGCAAATTGTTGCCTGACTTAGACAAATGTGCTATGATGGCATTCATGTCCCCCACCCCACTAAATAAATGCAAATAAAATAAAATAAGAACTTCCATTTGCCTGTGTAGAGATATACCAAAATAGTGTTTACAGAACTCTACAGTCTAGGATATTGTGTTAAAACCCACAGTTTATTGCTTCTAAAAACATCTTATTGTACTTAATCTTGAAGAACTATTTTATGAAGGATTTGGGAAGGGTGAATAAAGGGTTATGTGGTTAACATGGTATTTAATTTTTAAAAAATCCTCTAATCTAGGAGTCTTGACTATTCTCAAATGAGCTAATAGCCATTGGGGTGGATTTATGTAGCAAATTGCTATCTGCTGTATTCAAATTATTCCCTGAGCTCTGACTCCTACAGAAAACACCAAATATCATGGAGACACACAATTATCATGCTTAATTAATGTTTGCAACCAAAAAGCGCAAGGTTGGAATCTTTAATATCATTGTGGATATTGAAGAGCTGAAGTTGACTGACTATTATCTTGAGATTAATCTATTTTTCCTCAAGCCAGACCCTGGGGTCAAAAGACAGAGTATTAAAACTATTTGAAAAATTCACTGCAATTAATTGCTGCAGAGGCTAATTTTTTTTAATGTCTTGCTTCCTTACGCCCGTGCTAGTGATTGTTATCGCCTGCACACTTCACCCATTAAGTGGTAATTCAGAGTGACAACTACATGGAAATGAAGCAAGTTAGTTAATCACCATGAAACTGCTCTGGAAATGCCCTGTCCAAGTACTCTCCACTCACGGGAGCTCTCATTACCTGATTTGCTCCCGGAGTGAGGTTGCCTGCACAAAGCATTTATAATTTTTATGGAGAAGACAAGGGCAAAAGGGTTGGTGATGACGTTTGTGTGGAGTTGTTATCAGCAACCACTCAAAGTCCTGTAGAGCCCTCAGGTCATTCTTTGGGATACTGGAAGGCTGCTGTTTGTTCCTGCACTGCAGTCTTGAAATACCCACAAGCCAGGAGTGTGGGCTACAGAAGTGGTTGTTGGAACTTGATTTTCCCAAAGTGTGACTTCAAGTCGCAGGGAGCTGGACCAGTGGGCAGAGGCCAGTCTTGTTTGCCCATGTTTAGGTGGCCTGCCATAGCAACCAGGGAGCTACCTCTGTCTTCCTTTGCATTTTGACCTGGTGGACTGAACAGCCATGGTTCTACCCCCAATTCTTGGAATGCTGAAGTGGTACTTGTGAAATACACTGGGCCCCCAGTATGTCCACCTCTTCGGTGAGGGGTGACGTGGCTCTCTGGCCTGCTGGAGTCACTGCCTGTCTCACAGAGTCACTGATTCACTGTGTACCACTTGTAGCATCTCTTGTTGCATGGTCATGGGCATTGTTCTTAGTAGAAATACTTGTGCACTAATGAACATGCTTTTCTGAGTTACACTTAAAGTATTCTAGATGTCAAGTTGACTGCCAAAAGGATAGCCTCACGAATTCCAAATGTCCCCCTTACTTCGTTTGAGAGAATGCCACTCAATGGCTCTGAAGTAGAGATGGTCAGTTATGTAGTCTCTGGCTACTCCAAACTCTAGGGTAAGACTTGAAGTAATGGCACCATGATGTTGTTGGTGTTAAGCAGGGTAGCACATGTTAGAATCCCAGCAGCCAGAGGACAGAGGCAGGAGGAGTACTGTGGGTTCAAGGTCAGCCAGAAAGAAACAAGAATCTACTGTTTGTGAAGATGCCTGTAAGACTATAAGCATTCACTCATTACATACATCATTCAGTGAGTGTTTAATTAGTGTTGGCAGCCACTGTAAGATTAGCACGTGGGTTACAAATGTGCCCTTAGGAAGCTCAGGACATCATTTGGGGGAGACAAGGAAACACATGGCTCACTATGCATCATGCAGAAGAAAATGTGGGATGATATGGCAGGGAGAAGAGAGGGTCAACTCCACTGAGGAGTGTCAGATCAAGCTGAGGTGTGGGCATGTGTTACAGACAATGAACACAAGTTCAGCAGGAGGGGGCTGGCTGGGGAGAGGGAGGCAGGGGCCTATCCACATACAAAGAAAGGTCAGTCTCCAAGAGGAGTCAGGCTTCCTGGCAAAAATAGAAATGTTTGCTTCCCTGTGGATGGCCATGCCTTCTCCTGGGCTCCTGCAAGGTACACCATGCATCACTCATGTGTGGGTGATAGAGTCATCACCTGCCCTGGGCCAAAACAAGGACAGCAAGTGAGAGCCGGACCTCTCTGGAGGAGGGAAATGACCCAATGCTTGTAAAAGCCCACTGTGCATGGCTTTTACTTACTGTTTACAGCTGCTTTTGAAAAGAGGGGTCTGTGTTGAGATCACATTTCTCAACTACTGGTCCATGAAATGGCACCATAAACTAGGAGGAGAAGCATAAGTAGAAGAGAGTAGGCCATTTAGACCACAAGGGAACCAGCTGGCAGATCTGTGGCATTCCTGAGTGGCTGAGAGTTAGGCTGCACACACTGCAGTTCTCCAAGCCAGCAGAGAGGTCCTGGGGCTCCCCCAGATCGCTAGTCATTATGCTCATCTGAGGAGTGTGTGCTGCAGTGTCCATGCTCTGGGGCAGGCAGGGAGGATGAGGCAGCCCAGCAATATGCAGTGTGGAAGGAAAAGAATGACTTCTGGGGCTGGTGTCATGTGGGAACCTGAGTATGGTACACAGACTGCAAATCAGTGATACAAACCCAGTTTAAAACCAGAAACTTTGTTGGGCGTTTGTATTTAAGATACATACGGCATGGAATGAGGCACACCTGGGGCATGATACTAGCCAAATATGAACAATTACAATAAAAACACTGTGGAAGGTGACTTTAAAACATTGTCATCTTTTCCCTCCCATCAGCCTCTATTTTCTAAGCACAGAAGTCACAGAGCATCACTTCCATCTCTCTGTCTTCCTTTCCTATAATACCTCATTCTGTCCCTCTAAGTCAGTGGTTCTCAACTTGCAGGTCGTGGCCCTTTGAAGTTGACTGACCCTTTCCCAGGGGTTGCCTAAGACCATCAGAAAACACAGATATTTGTATTACAATTGGTAACAGTAGCAAAATTATACTTACAAAGTAGCAACCAAATAATTTTGTGGTTGGGGTCACCACAACAGGAGGAACTGTATTAAAGGGTTACAGCGTTAGGAAGTTTGAGAGCTACCGCTCTAAGTTACAAGATCTACTTATCCCTACTTTCCTTCCTTCTGATAGCTGGTTTTTCCTGCATGTTTCCTGAATGGAACAAATGCAGAGGGCTAAAAATAGAAAGTCTTTTCCCAGTATATTGTCATTTCTGTATGAAGGGTGGCTGTGGGGACAGGAGGAGAATAATGTGTAAAAGTCGGTTGGTTAATTATCTAGCTGTAAAGTGTGCTGCCTGCCTGTTTGACAGCTCTTTGATGTCTGTATTTTTCATTACTTGGCTGCTAACTTTGCTTTTGAATTGTGCCTTAGCATGGAGTCCATTTTAGGGAAGCACATTTTTTTCAGATGATCATATTTCTGCCTTGTCAGAGAAATCATTGATTCAACTTGACATCTCCATAAAGCTGAAGGTTTGATGAATTCAAGACATGTTGAAGATACATCTTATGAGTTCCTTTAAAACTCATCTCCAAGCTTTTCTCTGTGTTTGGTTGGTGTAATCCATTCCAGTAGGCATCAGTCATTCCCGTTCTGAGATGACTCGGCCTCTCTGAGCACCAGGTCTCCATGCCTAACTTGAGTCTCCGCTCTTCTGCAAGCTCCCATTCTGCCCAGGCCAGCCTGGCTCACTAGTAGCCTTTGATTAGCCTTCCCACTGTCAGCTTGCCATCTCCATCCCACAGTTTGTATTGCAGCCAGGGAAGGTTTGCCTCCATGTGCCCATACTTCAGTCCCTTCTTGGGACATCCCACTTATCCTCAGTCTTTTAATAAGTAAGACTGAAGTCTGCACAAAACCCTCACCCAAACATGTCACCGCTACCCAGCCAAGAGTCAGTCTGTCTTCATTCTCCTCGCCTCCACTCCGCCTTCCATCCTCTTTAAGAGAGAGCTGGAAGGCTCTGCTGAGCACCTGCGCTGGGCTTGCACCTGTGCCGGCCTTATTTATATTCCTTTCATCTTTTATGGTAGAAGCACCTGCTCGTGGTTCTGCCCTGCACTGGGCCTGATTTCCTCTCAGGCCCATTTTGTATGGAGGAGTAAACGATGATACCTGTTTTTAACCGCTAGACCCTGCCAGTCCATTTTGGAATAGAATACAGAAAATGCTCATAGATTCTATTTAGTGATTAAAGAGAACATATGTATAAACATAGTTAGTCAGATCAACATGAGAGGCTAAAAATATTTGTCTTTATAGTCTTCCTTTCCTATTAATATATGAAGAGAGGAAGAGAGATTTTGCATTTTGGATTTGCAAGTGATTTTTCAATTTGAAATGAATTAGTATAAAAAGAACATTCATTATAATTGCTTTAGAATTTGGTCTGCAATGAACAAAAAATAGAGTCACTACTTTAGTCATCGCTAGCCAATTAAGGACTTGAATGACTCCCACAGTTTGAGTTTTAAAATCTAAAGATTCATGAAAATGTTTCTTGAGACTTTTAGAGTGATCATTATATTGTGATTTGTTATAGTTTAATTTTTTTCTTTTTCTTTTCCTTTTTTTTTGGTTTTTTTGAGACAGGGTTTCTCTGTATTGTTTTGGAGGCTATCCTGGAACTAGCTCTGTAGACCAGGCTGGTCTCGAACTCACAGAGATCCACCTGCTTCTGCCTCCCAAGTGCTGGGATTAAAGGCGTGCACCACCAACGCCCGGCTATAGTTTAATTTCTTATGTCCTGCCAATTTCCTGGTTTGGATTTTACCTGGGCACTAAATAATAACCACAGGGTAAGAAAATGAGCTAGCTACTGATCTAGTCTTCCAAGCCACTCTACACATTTGTTTTAAAGATATAAGAATCTGTATTTAGATACAGGGATCATGTCTTACTAATTTTTAGTTGAGTTTGAACCAAGTAAAACCCTCTTGATCACATGGTAGCTAAGTAATAAGAGTTTAAATGATGCTTTAGAGGAGTTTAAAAACAAAAACATGTAAAGGAGAGTCAGGATAGGGTTGTGGAAATCTTTCTGTCAGCTGACTTTGATAAATACTTGTCACCCATGCCTCAGCGCTCTCAATTCATGGAGCCCTGCTGAAGGAGAGACCCCAGATTCTAGATAGCTGTTCTCTAATTAGCTTTTCAAAAATCTGCTTTTCAAATTTCTATCTGTTCTTGAATACATTCCAGGAGAAATGGGGGTGCATTAGCCTAACCAACATTGACTTGAAGAAAAATTAGTAGAAATTACTTTGACACTTGGAACTGGCAGTCTGAGAATCAGGATTTGGAATTTGCTGTTTAACCATCCCTTGGGTCATTTCTTCCTAAAATCATTGTCCAAATTGACAGCTATTCAGTTGCTGAGGGATGGCACTGTAGCCTTTTTTAGTGGATATGAGAAATTTGGTAAATATAGTCAACAGACTAGTCATTTCCTCCTGACCCAGCTCACTGTCCACCTGAGCATCTTGACCATGTAAACAGACTGGAATTCCTAAAGCACAGAGAAATATGGCTAAAGTTGCAAGCCAGCCTTTAAGAGCATGTAAACATGAGCACTAAAAACATGATGAATATAACAAGTGTTTGAATTAAGACATTAATTGTAGTTAAGAACAATTCCATTTGGTCCTGTTTCGTCTATCACAGGAGCAGGACTGTCCCTGTGATGGATACTGAGCTGGCTCCTCTAGGACAACATGGCGCCTGACATCTCATTTTTCCATTTCAGAGTGTGTCACCATAGTCATTCCTCCTGAGTTGAACATTATTCTACAGGACTACCAGTGTATCCAAAACGAATTAGCTTTTCACAAAACAGAATTTTTTTCAAATGCCAGAGGTCTCTTCATCTGTCTTGTATGAAATTCTAACACATATTATAACCCTGTCTGTCATGATCTGACTTGTCAAGACCTTCATCAATCTAGGCTTATAGGAGATACAGAGCAAGGAGAGAGATTAGATGTGTTTCTGGGGCCCTAGTGAGTTATAGCATGGGGAAATGGTAACACCAAAAAACAAAGACAGGAAACCCAGAAAAGAGCCACTTTGAGAGTTCTCAGAGAGAAGGGCTCTTGGGTGGCTCTGCAAGGGGGCCAGGAGGAGGAAAGACATATCTTTGTGTCCTCTGAGGATGTACCTCTGTGACATGCTTTACTGCTCTTCACTGATAGCCATAGGAATTCAGAAGATGATGCTTAGCAGAATGAGATTGCCTTCTGTTTGCGTTCATAATTGTCCTGAAGGAGACCATAGCTAGGAAGTTTTTGTCATGCTAACTATGCATGGCACAAAGGTTAACATCTTGGTGTTAAGTGTATAATTCTGGGGAATTACTATGTTTATATTCTGCAACCATCACCACTGTCTGTCTCCAGAATGTTTCCATCATTTGACATGGAAAGTCTGTTCTCATGAGACAATTCACTCTCTTGTCCCACTTCCCCTCATCCCTGTGACAAGTATTCTTTCTGTCTCTGTGAGGCTACCCCTTCAGGTACTGAATATGACTAGAGTCATCCCTTCTTGCCTGGCTTGTTTCTATAATGTCTAAAGTTCATCTAGGCTGTAGCATGAATCAGACTGGATTAGCTTCAAAGGTTGAGTAATATTCCATTGTACATGAGTATGGCATTCTACTTCTCAACTGATCTGTTGATTGACACAGGTTACTTTGAGTATTGGGAATGTAGTGTGTTAACCTGGGTGTTGACAGAGAACCTGAATTTGGAATTTGCTGCTCATGGATATACACCCAGAAGAGAAATTGCAGGATCATATGATTTTCTATTTTAATTTTGTATTATTTTATGTGCCTGAGTGTTTTTCCTTTATGTATGTCTAAGTAGTGCCCTCAGAAGCAAAAGACAGCATTGGATTCCCTGGAACTGGAGCCACCATGTGCTTGCTTGGAATCAAAGCCCCATCCTCTGGAAGAGTAACCAAGTGCTCTTCAACCTCTGAGTCATCTCTCCACCCCCTCCCATTTTATTTTCTTGAGGAATGTGTTTAAGGAATTTTAAACATACTAATTTGCTAAACAAAAGATTTATTAATTGATTACTTCATAGGTGTCATGTGCTGTGTAGCCATCAGAGAATTGTAAATAGAACAAGACTTCTCCTCTCCAGAAACTGTCAAGGACTCAGGAGAAGGTCATAGTCAGCAATTGCATATGTAATTAGTGCTTGCATGGTGTGTTCAGTTCTGCTAGGAGTATATGAAGAATACTCTGGAAGCATATCATAGCAGCAATGGTTCCCAGTGTTTCTGAAGCTAACTGTCTCCTTGGATGTTGTCTTCGATGAATATTCCAGCAGATTCTGGCTAATGGCGATTGATGCAGTGAAGTACCAGTGTCTGTGTTGTACACGAGGCTTTGTTAGTTCAGTGTATATATTGCTCTGTGACCCAGATTGTCCCCCTCATGTTTTTGTTTGTTTGCTTGTTTTGTTTTCTTCTAGTGGTTTTTAATTGCCAACCGATCTTACAAAGTCAGTGCGGCCAGCTCCTTCTTCTTCAGTGGCGTGTTTGTTGGCGTTATCTCCTTTGGTCAGCTTTCGGATCGCTTCGGGAGGAAAAAAGTCTATCTCACAGGTACTCTGTCACCATGTTCATACACTGAGTAGAGGCTTTATGTCCCTAAGAGTCTTAGGAAAATAATAAGGGGGTTGTTTTCTTAAAGTTCTGAGTCCACAGGTGGAGAGAGCTTCTGTTTAGTGCACTGGCAAGAGGCCACACTGCTGCTAGCCAGGACTCTGCTGAGTGGTTTTGGGGAACGAGCTCACCCTGCTAAGGCCAGCTATTTCTGCTAAAAATACTTTTTTCTGACTGTGCTTTCTACAACCCCCAAATTGTAATCACTGCCCTGCTTCTATTCAGAGCAGTAGAAGATTACCACAGCCTTCCCACCCTTTTCCCTGTATCTCTCTGTGTGATTTATTTCAAATGAGCTCTATAGGACTTGGCTGAGTATGAGTGAGGATTTTCAATTTCTAGCATTATTATGAATAACTGCAAATGGTGTGTGATTGACAGAAATTGTAAAACAAAGAAAGCAAGCCTTGGGGTTTCTTCATAGTTTTCAGGGCAAATTATCAGAAAAAAATGAAAACCATAGCTCAGGACATTTAACTTTACAAAGGTTTACTTCGCAAACTGATGAATATAATTTATTATTTTCTTCAAATGCTATTTTGCTTCTGGGTCATTGAATATTATTCCTCTCTTCCCAGGTTTTGCTCTTGACATCTTATTTGCTATCGCAAATGGGTTTTCCCCCTCATATGAATTCTTTGCAGTAACTCGCTTCTTGGTGGGCGTGATGAATGGAGGAATGTCCCTGGTGGCCTTTGTCCTGCTAAACGAATGCGTGGGCACCGCCTACTGGGCACTTGCAGGTACTGCTTTACTTTGTGCTGCTCTGGATGTGAGTGGAAAGCCTTGCTGGGAACCAGCTTACCCAAAACACACTAGGACTTGAGGCATGTCGTATCTACAGGCCAAGTATTCCTTACCCTAATGCTGAGGACCAGAAATATCCCAGATTCCAAATTTTATGCATAATGAGATACCTTGGAGATGTGGCCCAATTCTAAACACAAACCGCATTTACATTTCATAGATGCTTTACAAGCACAGCCCCAAGGTACTATCATGCAGCAGTTTCAGTGCCTCTATTTTGGGTTCAAACCATCACAGCCAAGGTAAAGTATGGGCTTTTCCATTTGAGAGATTGTATTGACTCTCACAAGCTTTCAGAGTGCAGGACATTTGGAATTTGGGGTTTTCGTATTAGGGATGCTCAGCCCGCTCAGCCTTGCTTTCTCCAGCGTGTTCTTCAGGAGGTCAGAGATCATGTTGTTCACATTGCCCGGTATATGTCTTCCCTGGGCCTGCCTCACAGACAGTGAGGTGGCCCCTCATCTCATGGTCTTCCTGCAGATGACCGTGGTGAGTGTCCCAGTTGCACAGAATAGCATGTGTCTTTTTCTCCTTTACCCTGGGAATAGTGCAAGGGCATAAACTCGAGGCCTTTCCTGTATCCTTTTGTTGTTGCATGGATTTCCTCATTTTTACTCTTCTCTCCAGTCACTAGAGGGCATTATTGTAGCATTTCTTACTGATGCTAAATTTCTAAATTGAGGTCATATTCTATGTTATCTCTAATAAGTCTAGTATATTCTCAACACCACACATATAGTAAAAAGAATTATTTTTAATTTTTTACATTTATGTATTTTGCATGTGTACATGTGTTCACACACATACACATATATGTGTTCACACACTTATGTGAGCACATATGCTCGTATGCACAGGATCAGAGAACAACTTACAGGGGTCAGTTCTTTGCTTCTACCATGTGAGACCTGGGGATTGAACTGAAATCATCAGTTTTGACAGCAAGCCATCTCACTGGCCCAGTAATTAGGTGAGGTTTCTATTGCTATGATAAAACACCATGGCTAAAATCAACTTGGGGAGGCAAGGGTTTATTTCACCTTACTCCTTGTAGTCTATCATCTAGGGAAGTCGGGGCAGGAACCTGGAGGCAGGAACTGATGCTGAGACCATGGAAGATGCTGCTTACTGGTTTGCTTTGCATGGCTAGCTTAAGCTGCTTGATTATGTCACCCAAGACCACCAGCCTGGAGAGGGGTGTTACTTCCCACAATGAGCTGGGACTCCTCACATCAATAATCAGTCAGGAAAATGCATCACAGGCTGGCCCATAGGCCAGTCTTGTGGGGATATTTTCTTAATTGAAGCTTCCCTCTTTCAAAATGACTCTAACTTACGTTGTTGATGTAAAACTAGGCAGCATAAAGGTTGGGGACTGGGAAGATGACTCATTGAGTAAAATGTTTGCTGAATTCAGACTCCCCAGCACTCATATTGAAAGCTAGGCATGACAGTGTGTGTGTCACCTCTGCTGGGGAAGTGGGAATAAGTCTGTCCCTAAGGTCTGCTGACCAGCTAGACTAACTGAAATGCCAAGGTCCTTGTTCAGTGAGAGACCCTATTTCAAGCTATAATGTGGAGAGCAATAGAGGAAGACACATATCAGACTCTGGCCTCCACATGCACGGGCACATGCACTTGAACACACATCCCTATACCCCCCCCACATGCATGCATCCACACACACGTTATATGACTTCAAATATTGTCTTAGGAGAGTGCTTGTCTAAACCTCTACGTTTTAGATTATAGATTTTCACTGATAACTTTTTGAGATTTTTTTTAAAAACTTTTATTGACTTGACAATTATTGTACCAATAAGGGAATAAAATGGCCTTATGATTGATAAAAATGTATCTAAATGACAATATCATCAGAGAATGACATTGTTACTCTTTGGAACTAACTCACTAATTAAAAAATTATATATATTGAATATGTCACCTCCTGCATAGGTTTGGGGAATACTTTCCTCCATGGTTCAGTTTATTAGATTCTATACGTTTCCAGAGTGAATTGTGTCTGGTTGTTGCTGTAATAAACTACCACTAACATAAAAAAATTGAGTCAGGTGGTAGTGGCACATTCCTTTATTCTCAGCATTAGGGAAGCAGAGGTAGGCAGATCTCTGAGTTCAAGGCCAGCCCAGTCTATAGTGTGAGTTCCAGGACAACCAGAGCTGCTACACAGAGAAACCCTGTCTTGAAAAACCAAAAATAATTTTTTGAGATTATTATTACATTCTTCTTTCCGTTGACTTCCTCCAAACCCTCTCATGTGCCCCTTCCTACCCTTCTTCAAATGTATGCCCTCTGTTTATTAATTATTATTGTATTCACATATGTATATATACATATATATGTTGGATTTTTGTTCAAAATGCACAGGAAGGTCTTGGGCTTATGTTACACAGAGGAAAGACCTCATACAGAAAGGTTGTTCCTATGGGTATATGACAGCAGAGAAGAGAAGCAAACACTGAGGGTCTGTCAGGAGCCTGCGTAGTTGGCTGTGGTTCAGACAAGGTAGGAGCCGTAGCAGAGGAGAAGAGGAAAACTGAGTTCAATTTCAGTGGCCATGACCTGGAGAGGAGTCAGCAGAGAGAGGGACAGAGAGGCATAAGGGAGACTTCAGACTTAGGTCTGAAAAACTGGGTCAGTCACTGGCATCTTTTACAAAATAAAGTCAGAATTGAACAGTATTTTCTAATCTTCCAACATTTAGCCATGTTCTAACTGAACAGGGACAGGAGACTTGAAATGTGCAAGAAATAGGTGACAAGCCAAAGTGAACGAAAGCATAAAGACCCTGAGGTGCATAGACATTAAGTAAACCACACGTGGTGGTCCAGAGTTATGATGATAAAGGGACTTGAAACACTCAAAGTTTTAATGGGTTCATCCAAATATCACAGGAGGCAGGCACATTACATCACATGTGCAGCTCTTGTCCCTGTGCCTGCTGTGGTTACCAGCATGTGTGTGTGACTTCTTGCTGGACTTCAGCTGTGACTGTCAGATTCGGCACTTCTTTCTTTCCACCCAGTTGACATCATCATCTGGACCCCTGCCTTCTATTGTCATCACAGTGTGTAAGGTCACCAAGCTACAGCATGTGTTTGAGCCATCTCCTCTTGTCCACCACGTCCATTTGGTGCCGTCTTTTGTTAACTGTGACAGAGCTCAACTCCTAGGAGTGTAGACAGAGAGGTAAATCATTTGCTCAACATCTTGTGACAGGGCAGCTGGGTCTCTGAACCGTGGAAGTCAGGTGCTTCTCATCTCTGCTGTCCACCCTCTTTGAAAACGTTCTCAGCCAGAGATGAGACCCAGAAGCTCCAAAAGCAGGTTTTAGAATTACAAGTTCTGATTGGTCAAGCAAAGGTTACTCTTTCAGCTAAGGGAACTGTGATTGGTTCCCTTGAGCTACACAGTCAGTTCTCCAGGATAGCGTGGCTGAGAAGTTCTAGAAATTAGAAAGGAAAGTAAGGCAAAAAAAAAAATCTCCTGAAGTTGACATTCATAACCAGAGACTTCCAGATGTCCTCCCTGCCCTCCCCCTGCCCCGATGAATGGATGAGAGCTTGTAAACCCAAACCCAGATTATAATAGGATGCTGTGGTAGCTGACTTTAGTGAGCACACTTTGGGGCACATCTGTGGTAGAGTTTCCAGAGACTGAGGAGGAGAGATGCGCCCTGAAGAAGGTAGCACCATCCCTTGGGCTGAGGGTTAGGGAAAGGAAAAAGAAACAAGCGCCAGATTCATCTCTCTGCTTCCTGTGCTGCCCAGATGTGAACAAGCAGCTGCACACTCCCACTGCCACGGTTCTCCACATGACAGACTCCAACCTTCTCAGAGTGTAAGCCAAAATAAACCCTCCCACCCTTGCCACTTTCTGTCAGACATTTCACCACAGTGAGCAGAAAAGCAGAGCGATCACAAATATAACCCTTGTATAACAAGCATTATTTAGGGGAAATATTAACAATGAAAACTACCTTTTGAGATCAATATTGTTTCTGTTTCAATGGTGAGAAGATGGAAGTTTATGAAGACAGTAACTTGTTCAAAATCAGGCTGTAACATAGTGGTTCTCACCCTTCCTCATGCTGTGACCTTTTTATATAGTTCCTTGTGTTGTGGTGACCCCAATCATAAAATTGTTTTCATTGATGCTTCATGACTATGATTTTGCTACTCCTATGAGTTATAATGTGAATATCTGGTAATTCAGGATATCTGATACATGACCCCTGTGAAAGGGTCATTTGACCCCAAAGGGGTGGTGATCTATAGGTTGAGAACTACTGCAGTAGTATTTGGTAAAACTCAGGTTTAAACATGAGCCCTCAGCCTATCTTGTCCCATGACTGTGTTCTTTTTGTGTGTCATCATAGGTGAATACTACATGACAGGGAAGCCTCATCCTTGGAAGCTAGCCAGGTGCTATTTGATGCAGCATAATGAATCCAAACACCTACTGATTGTCTTAAATTTCCATGGGACTCCATACTGTCTCTATTCCCTTACTTGCTGAATCATGTTCTCAGAATGCTGAACACACACACACACACACACACACACACACACACACACACACACACACCTTTGACTCTCCTAGATAGAGCAAACATATATTAGTCATCATGTTTTGTCATAAAGTGGTAAGTTCTGAACAGTGATCAAAGAAAACATTGTTTCTAGATTATCATAGAAAAATTAAGACTAAGACAAGCAAGGCCCAACTGAAAACTGCCTTTCCATAGAAGTAAGAGATGAAGTGGCTCAGAATGCCCGTGAACCTTGTACAGGGCTGGCTCTGCCATATACAGCACACTGGGTGTCGTAGACACCTTCCCCTAACCCTCAAGCTATCTTATTGCTTCAGTGTGCGTTTAATAACGGTACCTGTTTCATAAAACAGCACACACAATATGGTATTCTCAACAGATGTCTCAATAACCTGCCCACAGTGATAATAGCTGTTACAGAAAGTGTGTCAGAGATATAGAATTTGCAAGAATGGCAGGCAAGCTGATGCATTTAATCCCCCATCTCAACACTTATTTTAAAAAACATAGGTTTCTTTCCAGTTCTGTGGTTGATATTTTTCCATTAGCATTTTGACAAAAATCTGTGCTTCAAAAGGCTTATGTTCTACTTGGGAGAGTCAGGTGAGAAACAAGAAAATGTAAAGTGTCATACATCTGATGGTGATAAATTAAGTAGAGAAAGGTGATGGGAGGAATTGGGAGTGGCCTAAGATAATATTTTTATGAGTAGTCTCCAAGATAAAGATTAAGACCCAAGGGATGACAAGATCCCTCAGTGGATTAACACACTTTCTGAAAAGAAAAAAGAATAAGACAAGCAAAATCCATCTAAAACTGCCTTTCATAGAAGCGGGAAAGGAGATGGGAGTGCCTCAGAACGCCAGTGGACCTTGTACAGGCCAGGCTTTGACGTATCCATTACACTGTTGTAGACACCTCCCCTAGCCCTCAAACTGTTCTATTGCTTGCTCTGACTATCAGAGTTTGAACTGTGGAATCACATGATGGAAGGAAGGAGCCAGCTACCACAAGTTGTCTTCTTAAGTGCACTGTTTTTTTTTTTGAGACACACGTACAAAATAAATATAGAATAAAACCTTTAAAAAAGATTAGGACTGGCATTGCTGGAACTGCATGGCTTGAAAGTCACACCACCCACATTGAAAAATATCTCCAGCTTCAGCCACAGGTGCAGGCAGAAGTCAGTGCAGCAACCAGTACAGATGGCATCTGACAGAGCTTTGAACTTCATCTTGTCCCCACGCGCGCGCGGCATGATTCCAGCTGCCTTGCTTCCATCCCCCTCTTAATGGTATAAATAGGAAGCTGGGCGCTTGCATAGTCTTCCCCTGTGCTCTGCCACTCACACTTAGTAGCGCAGAGCTGATGCCCCACAAGGAGAACCTACCTGTGCACTGATGAGGATTGCAAAGGATGCTGTGGGTGGTCTTCCCCAGTGACAGTTCTCTTTCCCTGCATTAGGATCCATCGGCGGTCTGTTCTTTGCTGTTGGCATTGCACAATATGCCCTGTTAGGATACTTCATCCGCTCCTGGAGGACCCTAGCTGTTCTGGTCAACCTTCAAGGAACAGTAGTCTTTCTCTTATCTTTGTAAGTAGACTTTTCTCCTTGGAATTTTTGTTCCATAAACAGGAGTATCTTAGAAAAATGTGAGCGAGTAAGTGAGCAGCATCACTCCTTTAAAGAGCTTGCCTGCATGAATTCTGGGAAGAGCTAAACTGCAAATTCTCAATTCTTGTCAGTTCCTTGGAAGAGAGAGAGGCTAGTTAACTAGCTCAGAATGACAGTATCTCATGTTTAGAGTAAATTGCATTTGCAAAGCCTTCAGGTATTTGGGAATTCCTTCCTTCCTTCTTCCTTCCTTCCTTCCTTCCTTCCTTCTTCCTTTATTCCTTCCTTCCTTCCTTCCCCCTCTTCCTCTCCCTCCATTCCCCCTCCCTTCCTCCCTCCGTTTTTTTTTTTTTGGTTTTGTTTTTTGTTTTTTTTTTTTGTTGTTGTTGTTGTTATTTTTAACCCAGTACGTTAATCTTAAAGGTCTTCAAGCTGGATCTGGCCATGGACTAGGTGTGTGGCTAAGGTCTGATACTGTGGAGCCAAGTGGAAGTGCGGAACACATAGTAACAGCTGTTCCTCTTGCATAGGAGTCTCAGTTCAAGGCCTCTGAGCGCAAAGTCCACACGAGATATCTTATCTACAGGAGTGCTAAGAGCAGTACAGAAAAATTCCCAAGCCAGGATGGGCTCCATAAACAATCACCTAAGTCTGTCACATCTTGGTGGTTAGCCACCAACTTCAGCCCACTTAACCTACTGCAATTTGGCCAATGAAAGCTGTTTCTTCCCAAAGGTATCAGACTTAAAATTTTTTGTGTAAACAAGAATTTCACCCGGTGGTATCTGGGGTTTCTTTTGTGATATACACAAGACAGACCCGTGGCAGTATCCTAATTTCAGTTGCTCTTGTTTTAGTAGTTATTTGTTCAGTTTCTAAGTTGAGACTTGGTGGGATCTGAACTGAAGTTTGCTTCCTCGGTGTCTTTGAAAACAAGAGAGTTGTCAAATGCAGAAATGAACGTAGCAGAATAGTTAACCTGTATTAAAGAAAAAACAAACGTCATTAAAGGATTGAGCTGTGTGAACTGTGGTAAGGTAATTTTATTATTATAAAGGGAAATAACAAAAATTTAGTAGTTTGTACATTGTACATTTTTAAAATAATAGAAGCATGTCTCATATAGTGCATGGAGTAAATAAGCAGTCATGTAAATATTGGTGAGTAAATGAGTTTTCTTGTCAAATATTTAACAAAGCTCATACTTCTGCTCTCATCTCTCCTTCAGTGCAGGCAAATTCAATGAACGATGTAAGCTATTACGTCTTTCTTTTTCTGAGCCTGAGTTAGTTACTGTTTACTGCTAGATGAGGAAATGTTCTCACTGGGAGATGAATTCAGGACATGAACAATAGAAAGCAGAGGGGAAGGATCCCTGGGGTCTAAAAGTAGTCTCACTCTCAAATATCATCTTCGATATGATCGATGAAGTCTTGGGTTTTTATTGTTAATTTACAATCCTGAAAACACAAAGGCCGGGAGTATGTGACCACTGTTAACCACAGACAATCATGTTAGGATTTTCATATGCTTCCTACTGGTTCTTTTTCATTCCTTCTAACCCCACCCTATTTAAATTTTATTTTCATGTTTTCTGCATATAGGCAGGTCCGCTGTCTTCTTCAAATTCTTTTGATTTATATTAAGACTTAATCAAATCATTGTACTCAGTAGCTTGTTGTTGTACACAGTAGTTCTATATTGTACACAGTAACTCTTTGCTGTACACAGTAGCTCTGTGTTATACACAATAGCTCTATATGGTAATCAGTAGCTCCCTGTTGTACACAATAGCTCTATATTATGCACAGTAGCTCTATACTGTGTGCAGTAGCTCTATACTGTGCACAGTAGCTCTATATTGTACATAGTAGCTCTAGTTATACACAGTAGCTCTATACTGTGCACAGTAGCTCTATATTGTACACAGTAGCTCTATGTTGTGCACGGTAGCTCTGTGTTGTGCACAGTAGTTCTGTGTAGTGCACAGTAGCTCTATGTTATACACAATAGCTCTGTGTTTACACAGTGGCTCTATGTTGCACACAATATCTCTATGTTATACACAGTACCTCTATATTGCACACAGTATCTTCCAACAGAACAGTATTGACTTGGTTGTTTACTTACTAGTCAATAACAATAATCAAATGATAATAAGGAGGTGACTAGAGGTTCCAAGACATTATATATGACTTTGGTTGACAGTCCAGTGTTGTGTATGAGTGTCCTTGTCCCCAGTGGGTAAGTTCTATGAAAATTCCTTTTTGTCCCAGCATCTTTCCTCTCAGCACCCATTGTACTGCTCTGTAAAAATGGAAATGCCCCATGAATGGTTATTGACAGAACCACTGCCTCTGGATCCCGGAGTGCTTATTGCTCACTGTCCTGCTTCAGAAGTATCAGGAATTTGAGAAAACACCAGTTTTATTCATCAGATCTTCACTTGAGGGCAAGAGTGTCAGATGAGACTTTTAAAAATAAAGTACTGTGATTTTGTGTTTAGTGAAGAAGAAAGATTTCCAGGCTGGAAATATGGCTCAGTTGATAAGAGTGCTTACTTTGCAAACTTAAAAGATGAGTTCAAATCCTAGTGCCCACATAAAAAGCTGAATATGGTCTCATGCTCCAGTAATCTAGCACTGTGGAAAGCAGAGAAAGGAGGAACTGGTCTAGTTCCTGATTCAGTGGGAGACTCTGTCTTAAAGGAATAAGGCAAAGAGTGAATAGATTAGAGAGCCTGACACCCTCCTCTGGCCTGTAAGAATACAGTACATTAACCTGCACACATGAGCATGCGCGCGCACACACACACACACACACACACACACACACACACACACACACACACACAATTTTTTAAAAAGGTTTCCAGTCTATCATGGTTTTGTCTTTGGGACAAAACCTCTTTAAATTTAGGCAGAATAATGATGCAAAATCTACATAGTATCCAAGTTTTGAAACTGAAGACTCTACTGGCATGCCACAAAGTGGTTCATTATGTTAAAAATACCTTTGAAATGATTTGTTTGATTAGATAATAAAGACTTCTATCTCAGTGTGTGACTTTTCCAGAGTTTAATAACCCAGTTGATTAGGCATGGTGGTGCATGTCTATAATCTCAGCACTCTGTAATGTTAAGTTCAGGACTATCCTGGGCTATGTAGCAAGTTTAAGGTCAACCTGTTCTACATAGTGAGACCCTGTCTTGGAGAAAGAAAAAGACAGAAACATAAAGTGAGGCTGTGCCCACAGCTATGTTGTCTACCAACCTCTTAGTGGGGATTCAGAACTGTGCCTGACCTGTGCTATGTGAGCAATGTGCTTGCTTCAGCATGATAGATTTGCCATTCACGTACTGAAACTTCTTTAAGAAGAGATGGAAACTATTTTCCTTTATCAAAACAATATTTGAAATGTAGGTTCTCAGTTCCAATAATAAGATGGGCCACCACTTACCATAGCCACAGTGTTCAGGGTAGCCCCTTTGTCCCCTCTCCTGTGTCACTGGGGAAGTCACACATTAGGCTTGTGATGGAACTGAGCTATGCTGAGGGAAGCCACCTACAGAGGGGGTGATTGTCTCCTTCCTCTGCATGTGCACCTGTATGAATATCCAGCCTTTAATGACGTCTCTTTCAGATCCATTCCTGAATCACCTCGTTGGTTATACTCCCAGGGTCGACTGAGTGAGGCAGAAGAGGCTCTGTACCTCATCGCCAAGAGGAACCGCAAGCTCAAGTGCGCATTCTCACTCACACACCCGGCCAGCAGGAGCTGCAGGGAAACTGGGAGCTTCCTGGATCTGTTCCGTTACCGCGTCCTCCTAGGACACACTCTGATCCTGATGTTCATCTGGTAACTCTGAGAGGTGTTGGGGATCTTCAGTTTGAGTGCTAAAGGTCTCTTGATAGCCTGCTCCTTCCACACGGCTGCAGAGAGACTGACCTAGTGTCAGCATGCGGTTGTCTTGTTAAAAACAAAGCCACACAACCCCCCACCCCCGGCCCTGTCCCTCAGTGCTTTCTGTGTGCAATCCCCTGCTCTCTTTGGAATGTTCTCTCTGGTACCGATAGGTTCCCAGGAGGATGAAGGAATGGACAAAACCACAAATCAAGTCAGTAGATGAAGGGTTAGCACTCTGCGCCTGATACTCAGTTGCTTGGTGTATTCCAGCCTGCCTCTCAGAATGCTCCGGAGTTATATAAGATGCATCCAGGATTCTAGGTGACTCCTTTTAAAGAATGAAGTTTCAGGGAGACAGTTGATGAGGCGGCTCATGTCCCAGGGTGTGATAAGTGCACAGTGAATGTCAAACATGGAGGCTACGAGAACCTCTGAAAACAAACCCGGAATGCAGTGCAGATCTGCTCATTGAAGTTCTTACTAGTTAGAAGCAGATCCTGAGTGCACAGGAACCCAGAGTTTAAGCCTCTTCTGAGTTTTCTCATCACGTGGTCCATCAGCTGCTTTGGAGAAAGCACCTACTTGTAATGCTACTTTTTGTGGTATAAGGAAGTGAGCCTAGGGTATTATATGTGGTTGGCCAAATGGCCTACCACTTGTCTCTGAGCTATATCCACAGCCCACTATAGCCTGTCATTCATAGCCTAGAACACTTGGCCCACTGCTATGTTTTTTTTGGCAGAGGGAAAAAATAAAGTGTTCCCTTTGCCATTTGACCCCAGTGCAGCTACAACGTGCCAGACTTTTTCCAGGGAAAACAAAACAGAAACAAACGAGGAATGTCTTTAACAAGCACTGGCCATGGTCAATAGCAAAAGATGAACTAGTGGCATTGGAAAGTCCAGGTAATCTATTGCTTGGGTAGGAACTTGTGGTTTGTCAGCTGTCTTCATATGCTAGTAAAGGCCAGCCTCGTGGTTCTGTTCTGAGTTGTGATTTAGCATAGCAGCTTGCCAGACACTGATGTGCCTCTTACTACTTCACTGTGATTTGGAACTTCTGGTTGGCACTCAATTGAATTGAGCTCCTTGGTGCATCATTCCCCACTGCAGGAGACAGGCATGTGTCTGATCCAATACCAGAGCTATGAGGTGCTCCCCTAAGTGTAAATTGCAGTGACAGTGTGCAGAAATAGTTAATGTCACTCAAGAGCCTCCCTCCCTGTTGATCTTCCCAGAAGGTCCTGCTCTGCTGTGACCCTGGCCTTTTCTTCCCTAGTCTTGTCTCTACAGTATGTGTGCCTGCTGAAGACCTTGGACAGGAAATGACTGGGGTCCTAGGGATATGGAGCCCCTGGCATCTGTGGCCTGCTGATGGCCCACCTGAGGATCCATCCCATTCTCTAGTCACCCCCTGTGGGCTTTCCCCATAGGAGGCTTAGTCCAGACCTTCTGATAATATCAAAAATACCACAGGCCAGTGTTCCTTAGATTGTTGAACCCAATAAAGTAAGAATAGGGCCATTGTTTTCACTTCAGTGCAAAAAATGCTTGAGGAGGCAAGAACAATGTCTTTCCTCAAGCAGGGACTACCCATTCATTTGCTTTATGTAACACATAGACATAAATCACTCCCAAAGCCCCATTATGCCTTTGTTTCTTAATAGGATGAAAGTTTAGATTAAGATAGAAAGCTCAGTGGGAGAGTAAAACTCATTACTGGCAGCAGAGGGTTTATGTTGAACTGGTACTGTTTAATCTCTACTGCAAATCTGGTTTCTGCCCTATGGACTTTTCTCTCACCTCTCAGGCCTTTGATCCCCGATGCAGGTTTGTGTGCAGCTTGGTGTACTACGGCCTCACCCTGAGTGCAGGTGACCTAGGGGGCAGTATTTATGCCAACCTGGCCTTATCTGGCCTCATAGAGATTCCATCCTACCCTCTCTGCATCTACCTGATTAACCAAAGATGGTGAGTATGGATGACAATGAAGCATGCCATAGAGGCTATGCATTGGAGCACACACATTCTTCTCATATGCACATGCCTAACTGTTATGCTCTTTGGTGTCAGTCAATATATGGCCAGCACTGTCCATCAGAGTTTCTCTCAGGCTAAATGCAGCTAAGCTCACTTTTTATTAGCGTAGTTCTTGAGTTTTGTGTATGTGAATGCTTACGTGGGCTTTAACTCAGCATAAAAGGTAATAGCTACTGTCTGAGGGGTGTTGAGTAATCTATGCAGATTCATAGACCTGAACAATGTTGTTGTTAACTCCACAGAGATAGAATCCCATCAACTCAGAGTTCAGAGGTCTTATAAGCAGGAAGACAAAACCAGACAGAACTAGAAAGACTTCCTACTGCTAAGAACTACTTAAAAGGGGCAGAGTATACCCTGCTTTTGCTGCTTGTGAAAGGGAGTAACATTTCAAGTGTTTTATTCTGGAGATCTGCATCCTGGTCTGCTTATCCCTCTTGTTATGGTGAGCTAGGAACCAGTTGAGTTGTGCCATTTCCTACTGTCTAGACATTATCATTTCAACCCAAACTATAACATTGCACATCCCGATACTATTAATCAGGAAACCAAGGTTAATTTGGGGTTATTTAGACTCATTCATAAAAGAATTTAGGAACAGACTTGGAAGGAAGCTTTAGGACAATTTTCTTAGAGTTTGAAAGAAGAATAACAGGGCAAGCAGGATGGAAATTCAGGCAGAGGGAAATACAGAGAATGCATGCCTTTTGAGGATAGGGAAGCAGTGCTAGCCTGAGTGCCAAGGAGAATGTGCTTAGCCTTTGGCTGGTATCCGAAGGAGAGATGAAGAGAAGGATCAAGAAACAAATATTAAGTGCCAGGCCAACCTGTTCCAGGTTCTTGCTTATTTTTATTTTTAAAAAAACAAAAGCATTGCTGAGCATAGGAGTGGGCTAGTGACCAGAAGGAAAAAGCCAGGAAAGCACTGGGCCATGAGCTATAATAGCCCAACTCCTGCCACACCGGCCAGCATGCTTTGGCTCAGAGTCCTGTTCAGCTGGAGGTTTTCTCCGGGGGCAGCATTGCAGTTGCCTTGTCTGAGTCTTCTGCACGTGACCATCACTTACTCTCATCATGGTCCCAGAAGCAGGCCAGCCATCACACTCAGCATCCCTGTGAGAGCACATCCACTTCTTTGCAGCTACAGGTTCCTGTGTGTGCCTCTGATGGGCACTTTTAACATCACCAGGAAACTATTCACAGAAGTAGCCTTTGCCTAGGGCCTGCTTATCACGGTCAAAGTCGCTCAAAAACCATTCAATGCTAGATGTTAAAAATAGCCCAGAAATAGCTGTCAGAAAGACAACAGATCTTTCCTCCTTCCCAGCAGCTACTGCCTCAAGGCAGGGCTGGAATCTGACGGAGAAGGTCAGTGCCTTTGGGGTCAAGGAGCCTTGGTTTTCATTCTAGTCTGAGCCATGTGTTAGCTTTCTGACTTCAGTAAGTCCCCCCACTAAGCTTCCATTTATAATTATTCTAAAATCAACCATTATAAAATCGCCCTGACAAATTAGTTATTGGAATTACAAGTAAATACTGAAGTTCTCAGCAGAGGATCTGGCCTGTTGCTGTCCCTTGGAGAATGGATATTAATGTAGCATCTTTCTTCTAAGCCTGGACCTCTTATTTGGAAATTAAAGTATGTAGTACATTTTCCTTAAATAGAAACTACTAACAATATTTTTTCCTGTTTATATTTCTAAAAGATTGAGACAAAGACAAATAAACTAAAAGGCCTACCGAACCCTGTATTTAAAACTTCCGACCCCAAAAGAGTCAGGTAACCAGAGAATAAAACAAACTATAGGACCCCATTCTCTTTACTAGATTCTGTCTCTAAAAGATGGAGAGTGCAACAGCACATGCTACATGTTATCATTAGGGCTGAGTGAGGTAGCAGGTGGCATGCATTTAAGACAGTCCTGCTGCAGGGCACACTCTAGGAAATATCCTGATTCTGTCCCTGTCTGTGTACATGATCTGATCCTGCCATCTGGTGGATTCCCTATTCATGCTTATGTACATCCTGATCTATCTCCTGACCAGCTACATTCTCTACCCACTCAAAAAAATAATTAAATCAAGGACACTTAAATAGGAAAGTCAGAGGAAAGGAAAGATGACTTTCTAAGATTCTTTAGAGAAACGTGATTTCCTTCTATTATTTAGGTTTGGTCGGAAGCGAACACTAGCAGCATTTCTGTGTCTTGGAGGACTGGCCTGTCTTATTGTGATGTTTCTTCCAGAAAAAAAAGGTATGCCTTTCAAATTTCCACGAGGACTTTGAACAGCACTTTTATTACAATGAATCTCAATATAGTAAAGGGATTACCATATGCCATGCTACATTTCTGTGATTGCATATTATTTAGCAATTGTGTGGGCTATAATGGGCCAGATTCTTTGCATTGCCTGTACCATTCTCTGGGTGAATAATGTGCTCGGAGGTGTGCTATTAATTCTTTCAGGCTATTAAGCTACCATCTGGGGTGTCTGGGATTCAGTGCTGGTGATGTTAGAGTTGCTTACTTGATGATGGGGAGACCAAGGCCTCTTTTGCACTGAAAGAAATTCCTACTAAGCTGCAAATGAAACTCCACACTCTAGCCAATCTCAAGACTGGAGATTGGACACTGGTTTGAAAAGGTAGCTTTGGAACCTCTAATGTCTCCATCTGGGACCCCATGGCTAATAATAGTAGCAGCAGCACCATAAGCACAGCATTCACTGTCCATCACAATGGTTGTGCTCATGGCCATTTTAAAGTGTGAATAAGGGCTGCTGAGATGACCCAGCTGGTAAAGGCCCTTGCCACCAAGCCTTATGACCACTAGGACAGATATAATGGAGTTGAGAACAATGCCCACAAGTTGTCCTCTGACTTACACACATATGCTGTGGTATACACATACACACACACACACACACACACAGAGAGAGAGAGAGAGAGAGAGAGAGAGAGAGAGAAATGGATGGATATAATTTAAAAAATAAAGTGCAAATAAAGTATATGTGTAGGAAGCTTTCGTAGTTTCTATAATTCTTTAACTTTTCTACACAACACAGCTTCAGAAGATGTTCCTTTGGGTGGTAATATAGCTCAGTTGGTAGGGTGCTTGTCTAGACTGCATGAAACCCTAGGTTCAATCTTCAGGACCATATAAAATTTAGACGTGATAGCAAATCTGTTATTGCAGAACTCAGGAGATGAAGGCAGGAGCATCAGAAGTGCAAGACCATTTTTGGCTACATAACAAGTTTGAGGTCAGCCTGGGACACATGAGACCCTATCTAAAAATAAATATCTCTTTGTCATCCCATGTACCATTGTTACCCCTGTATAGGAATTCTGTAAAGCCAGATAAGGCAGTGCATGCTAGTAGTCCCAGCACTCAAGAGACTGAAGCAGTAGGACCATACGTTAAAGGCCAAACTGGGCTTATGTAGCAAATTAGGGGCAGGCCTGGGATACATAGCAAGATACTCTTCTCAACAATAAGAAAGAAGGGAGTCTGTAGATATGTAGGTACTTGTGACTCTCCAAGCCTTCTTTGTTTCGTGTTCCTTTTTTGGTACTTGTACATTGGCAGCATGAGAGTTCCTGCACAGGGAGATGTGGTTTTCGGTGAGGACACACAGGCAAGTAACACCCTGAGCTTTGTTTTAGAATTGTGATTGCTGTCAAGTGGCTCTTGTCCTCTGGGTGAAAATCATGGAGATAGGCATAAAGTTTGGTAACTTCTAGAACGCATCAGAGCAGCCTGCATGTTAAGTGCCCCTCTGCAAGTTGCTACCCCTTGAGGTTCAGTTTTTCCTGGGCCTTCTCTGGAGCCTTCCAGGTTGCCCATACTTACTTCCTGACCCTCCAGTGTGTCTGTCCCATGGTCAGCGGCCACCTGAAGTTCTGTGCTGTGAAACACACTGCTCCTCTTCTTAATAGTGATTCAGGCCATGACTGTGCCACAGGTAGCTTTATCAACTCAGGGAAACTAGAGAATTCAGAAATTCGCCTATTTCTTATCCTCCACCACCACACCACCCTCATGATGTTTGTTTAGGGCAAAAGATAAAGGGCTTCCAATTGAGGTCGCTTTCTGTTCAACAGACCTTGTTTGTATAGGCAACTTGGGAATGTAGTTTTCTACCAAAACAGTCATAGTTTATGCATCGCCTCAGAGAGCAAAGTTTGGTCTGTTACCATAGATATTGCTGTCTCATCCCACCTCTGGAAGCCAGGCTAAGGCATAACCCCCCCCTTAATTCTTTGTACGTTCAGGTAGCCCACCTCTAGGACTCTGCTCATGACCCTTCCTAACACACATGAGTGATCCCCTATCCAGATTAACCATCCATCTTCATCTCCATCTGCCCTGACTGCTGGACCCCTCTATGGCCTATGCCCCTTGGTGGACATGGCTTGGACACAGTGAAGTGGTGTTTTCCACAGGCTCAGGGAGTATAACACAGATGTTATGCTTAGAAAACGTGGACAGCCTGTCAATTTTTCAAGATTTCCTTGGAAATAAATTCTGTAATATCCCTTAGTTAGTGATTTCTGTTAACAACCATGGCTGCTAGAAGGATCCTCTCCCGTGATGGCTGGGCCCATTTCCTTTCATTTGATTCATCACTAGAAACAGAGAACAGATGGCCATAATTCTTGCTGTTCTTTCTGGAATCCTCTCTGAGCTTAAAAAAATCTTGAAACTATTCATATTTGCCGTTTAAAATGTTTTGTTAAGTTTCTTTTTAATCTGTTTTTCAGAGTTTTACACTATAGGTTATGAAAGCTCTGATAAGTATGTATTAAGAGGAAGACCTGGGTGTTTCTCTTAGCAGCTCATATGAGCTTGAAGACCACTCTCTTCTCCCCTGTGCTCCTGTTCATCCCCCGAGTCTCCCTGAGTAAGCATTCCACACCTGCATTCTCTGCTTTCTGCCAGCTCAGGTGCCCATCACCCACTGGCTTCTCTTTAGCATCTGCATATGATTGTGGCTGTCAGTTTCTGGGGCACTGTGATTTCTCTAGGAGACACAGAAAATAAGCTAAAGACCAAATGGTTAGTGCCTTGCAGCCCGAGGCTTATAATTATAAATTGACTGTCCCTAATCCAAAAAGCTGAAATCTAAAATGTTCCAAAATCCAAAAACGTTCAACACTGAGAATTTTGCGCACTAACAAACATGATGTCCCACTTGGAAGATCCCACACTTGACCTCATGTAATGAGTCACAGTACAAGTGCACTGAAAGTATTGTATGACATTGCCATGGTTATGTGTGCACACTGTTCATAAATCACAAATAACTCTCCTGCTTAAGCTTGGGTCCTCAAGACGCTTCACTATGGATGTGCAAATACTCCCAGATCCCCAAACCAGAACACATCTGGACCAAGTGCTTGATCACAAGGCCCCTCAGCCTGTGTTAGAGAGATGCTTCCTGTCAGTGTGTGTTCTCTCACTGGTTAGCCTCCTGGTAAAACTCTCCCCGAGGAATGTTAGCAGGGGCCACTTACACTTTTACACAGATTGGTCAGCAGGCATTTACTTGGGCTATATTCTTGCTTAGAGGAGGGTTCTAATTAATCTTATATCTTATAGTATTAGTTGCCATTTATGAAGTGTTGACTAAGTGCTGGATCTCCATATGCAGAAGGTCATTGTGTATCACTTATCACATAAGGAAACTAAAGTTGAGACAGGTCCAATATCGTGTCCAGCTTTATATCAAGGGGCTGGAATTCCAGGCCTTCCTAACCCACAGCCGCAGCGAGTGCACTCATGGAGATGCACTGACCAGCGTGGTTACAGATGGGGAGGCTGTGGTGTCTGAGCATTGACATTGTGACTAGGGCCAGCTCTTGACTCTGCTGTGGCAGATCTGGTGGAGATTAACCAAACTTTAAAAGACTGATTTTAGGGGAGCACTGAGCACCTGTAGGTAAGGCTCACAGCAGCTGTGGTCTCTCTGAAGATCTGAGTGTGTGCCAGATCAACAGCCTCGCACTTGGGAAGTATGAGCTCAGCTCCCCAGAGTGGCCAGCGGGTTGCGTCTTCCTCAAACTGGTCTTCCCATTTCTGTCCTAACTTCTCCAGCATCTGTGGATACAAGATCCTGTCTGTGACCCAGGCCCACTTCCTAGCCTCGGACAGCTTGAAATCGAGTGAGGGCACTTAGTAATCCAAGAGTAACAAACAACAGCACCTCAGGAGAACTGGCAAGTGCTTGACCTTTCAGTCGTGATAGTAATAGAACAGCTATCTTCCCACTCTGAACTAAAAATCCTATGAAAACTGTGAAATGCACATTAAAATGTTCATGTTCAACCATCAGACAGCAGGCTGCACATGACAATGACCCTGAGACAGGGAGACTGGCAAAGGTTAGCTCCAAGACAGTCCTTGCTCAGGATCTCCAGGACACAGGGCAGAGAGGAGGTGCAGCAAATATTGGCAACTCACTGAATCAAAGAAAGATATTAATCATGGCTAGAAGTTGCTGGGCAACAATATTGAGAGATAGATATTACAGTGGCTAGAAGAAATAGATATTAAGATGGCTAAAAGTTGCTGGGCAAAAGTATTGAGAAGTAAAACACATGGAGGAAGACTTTCAGAGATCTTCAGAAAAATCTTCCATGCTCTATGTAGGCAATGGAGGACACTCCTGAGGACAGGAAAAAACTACTAGACTAAAGTGGGAAGGACTGCCAGACAAAAGTGGGAGGACTGACAGATAGAAGTGAGGAGGGTCAGGATCACCAGACCAGAGAGGAGAGTGGAGGATCACCCAGTGTGAGTGAGGAGGGCCGTGAGATAGGACTGGGTAGGATCCACCTACCCAGGGGCAGGGAGGACCGAAAGACAGGATTTGGAAGACTACTAAGCCTGAGTGGGGAGGATCACCAGACAGGAGTGGGGAAGATCAAGAGATAGAACTAGGGAGGATCACTAGACAAGAGTGAGGGAGATCATGACCATGGACTGGGGAGGATCACCAGACAGGAGTAAGGAGGACAACGAAACAACGGTGGGAAGGCCCATCAGGTAGGAGCAGGGAACCATCAGACAACAGTAAGCAGAGCATGCCTAGAACCCAGGGCCATCCATGCTTGGCGCATTTTTTAGCTAGACATTAAGCATTAGAGGAGATAACCTGGACTACAATAGCCCTAAGTGAAAGGCTGATCACCCTAAAAGTGCTCAGTACAAACACTGCAGAGTCAACTGGTTCTCAGTAACTGAGGTGTATC